AGGTTGGTGGCACCTTAATTGGGGAGGACGGGCTTGTGGTAATGGCTGGATCGGTTTCCATGTGTTTGATGCCATTCCATTCGCTCCGTTCCGGACATTATTATGAGGCATCCTCCCCTCAGCAGCCTCCTGTGGTTCACATGATTGAATGACTGCCCCTACCTCTGTCCCCCATACATACAACATCTTTAAGGTCCCTCAGTCAAGTAGAGAAATTTCAAGCAGAGATTCAACTACAAAGACCAGGGAGCTTTTCGAAAGCCTCATAAAGAAGGGCAGTGGTACTGTAGATGGGTAACAATAACAAATCATTGAATATCTCTTTAAGCATGGTCAAGTTAATAATGATGCTGTTGATGATGTATTAAACCACCCAGACACATCAAATATAATTCTGAACTGAGCTGCAGGAGAGGAAGGAAACTGCTCAGAGATGTCACCATGAGTCCATTGGGGATTTTAAAACAGCGTTGGAGTTCAATGGCTGTGATGGGAAATACACATGCAGAGATCATCTGTTCAACCATACTGCATCTCACAAAGACACAGTGGTTGGAACCAAAAATCTCAAATTTGGACTCCAGACCAAAGGACACATTTCCACCGGTCTAATGTCCATTGCTCGTGTTTCTTGGCCCAAGCAAGTCTCTTCTTAATATTGGTGTCCTTAAGTAGTGGCTCCTTTGCAGCAATTAGACCATGAAGGCCTGATTCACACAGTCTCCGCTGAACAGTTGATGTTGAGATGTGTCTGTTACTTGAACTCTGTGAAGCATTTATTTGGGCTGCAATTTCTGAGGCTGGTAACTCTAATGAATGAATCATTTGCAGCAGAGGTAACTCTGGGTCTTCCATTCCTGTGGCGGCCATCATGAGAGCCAGTTTCATCATAGCGCTTTATGGTTTTTGCGACTGCACTTGAAGGAACTTTCAAAGTTCTTTACATTTTCCGTATTGACTGACCTTCATGTCTTAAAGTAATGATGGACTGTCTTTTCTCTTTGCTTGGACTTGGTCTTTTACCAAATAGGGCTATCTTCTGTATACCCCCCCTACCTTGTCACAACACAACTGATTGGCTCAAACGCATTAAGAAGGAAAGAAATTCCACATATTAACTTTTAACAAGGCACACCTGTTAACTGAAATGCATTCCAGGTGACTACCTCATGAAGCTGGTTGAGAGAATGCCAAGAGTGTGCAAAGCAAGGCAAAAGGTGGCTATTTGAAGAATCTCAAATATAAAATATATTTTGATTTGTTGAACACTTTTTTGGTTACTACATGATTCCATATGTGATATTTCATAGTTTTGATGTCTTCACTATTATTCTACAATGTAGAAAATAGTAAAAATAAAGAAAAACCCTTGAATGAGTAGGTGTTCTAAAACTTTTGACCGGTAGTGTATATAACTCAGTCGGGGTCTCAACTTACTGTTGAGAGTTAGAATAATAGAATACACAAGGTGCAATTTCGAGTCACTCAATTAGCCCATGTCAGGAAAACATTTTTAGATCGGTAAGTTAGTCTAGCGGCTCAAGTTAATTTCCTGCAATTCTACACATTTTGCCATGGGGCGGAGAGAAGATTTTTCAATTTTATAACTCATTTCATGCAATCCTACTAATTTTGCCATGGGGCGGAGAGAAAAGTGTGCAGTTTTACAGCTAATTTCCTGCAATTCTAAACATTTTGCCATAGGGTGGAGGCAAATGATTGCAGTTTTTAATATGATAACTGATGATAAATGGGTCCCACCTCAGTTGGTAATTCGATCATGCTTACTAAAAGTTTAGATAGCTGGCCGCTAGACTAACTTACCAATCAAAAAAAATGTTGGCTGACATGGGCTAATTGAGTGACTGCTGATGCACAACCAAATTTCGAAATTGCACCTTGTGTATTCTATTATTCTAACTCTCAACAGTAAGTTGAGACCCCGACTGAGTATTTTGGGGGAAATTGGTCTGCGGGCCTACAAAAGGATACGCCAGTTGCCCATCCCTGCCCTAAACATATCTAACCCCAATATCCCTGAACATTGTAAATATGGTATTGGAACTGACCCTGGAACTCACCCTGTATATACAGTAGCTTACTTACTTTCTTGTGTTCTTCGTATTTCTATTTCTCATGTGTTTTTGTTCTACTTGACTTTTTCATAAATGTTGTATAGGACTACTGATATTGATTACTGCATTGTTGGGAAAGAGCAAGCAAGAAAGACATTTCACTGTACTTGTGCAAGTAACAATACAAACTTGAAACTAGAGTGGCCAAGTTACAGTTTTGACATAAATCTGCTTGAAAATCTATGGCAATACTTGAAAATTGCTGCCTAGCCAGGATGCCCAACACCTTGACAGAGCTTGAAGAATTTTGAAAAGAATAATGGGCTAATATTGCACAATCTAGGTGTGCAAAGCTCTTAGAGACTTACCCAAGACGACTTACAGCTGTAATCGCTGCCAACGGTGTTTCTAATATGTACAGTATTGACTCAGGGGTTTGAATACTTATCTAATCAAGGTATATTATTAGTGTTTAATTTTTTAATAGTCTATTTTTTTTACTAAAAAAATTGTTCCACTTTGACATTACAGAGTATTTTGTGTAGATCACTGACAAAAAATGAAATTTAATCCATTTGAATCCCACTTTGTAAGACAATCAAATGTAAAGAAATCCAAGGGGGGCGAATTCTTATGATAGCCACTGTAGTTACCATATTGTAATAACAATGAACAAAATAATATTTCCTGTGGATAAACTAGTTGACCTCCAAGCATAATTTCACACATTACACATGTTAACATTTAGATTTTTTTAAATGATCATTTTGTATATTTTGCTCCAAAACTTGATTACTGGGAATAAAACAGCAAAAAAATAAGTCCCACCCATCAACCGTATGTTGGTTCACAGGCAATTTTAATGTGGTACTGTAAAGGTAGGGCACCAAAAACATCAATAAAACAAATAGTTTATTGAGACACTCTGACAAAGACCACATCATATCAAGACGTGTCACCATTAACTGAGTGCCTTCTCAAACATTCACTGTGTAACTTATTTTTGTTGCTTTCAATTGAACACCTTTCACCTCCTATATAACCTGGTTGGGCATCTAAGAACTTCCGTGACCTACAAAAAAGTCTCCCCTCTATGATTTTCCTGCATTATGTTTTTCATGTCTCTGTCTCCACTGCACCTGTTTCTAGACAATGTATTGTCGTTTTACAATTATTCTGTAATATCCTGACAGTTCTCTTGATAGAACCATCCCAAAACCATCCCCATTTTAGAAACACAAACTGGCTATCTCCCCAGTTTAAACCAATAATGTAGACAATACAGTAGAAGGGGAAAGCATTGTGTCATTATTGTCTTAAACCACCTTCACATTTAGTAGGCCCACCAGTGCTTCCAGTCATTTATGTGTGTTTGGGGTGTGATGGAAAGCAGTCTCCCAGTCTTCCTGTTTGCCCTGTCTTTATCTGTGTTTTCTGTCCCCTGAGCTCATTTCCTCTTATTGTGCTGTAATACTATTTCCAGAATTGTTTTTCTTTCTGTTTTATTTCTCCTCTTTTTTTGATAACTTTCCACACCACCTAACCCCTTCCTGTATCAAGGGTAGTTTGCATTGTCCTGAATTGTGTTGCAATTTATCCTAAACAAGGCTGGAGTGAAAACATGCATGATGTGGGTGAGCTGCTTCTAACAATAAGTTATAGCTGCATTACATAAGCTGATTGCTTTGTGACCCTGAGGAACACAAGACCCATAGGTCAGGGGTGAGAGATGATTTTCAAATTTGATATCCCTATAATAACGGTGACCTTCAATTCCTGACTTTGGAGTAAATTCTTGCTATGATGATCCACTATGAAACTGTACCTATCAATTATGGGACAGATAGTTATGCACAAAAGTAAAATAATGAGGTTTTACCCAAGTGCATTTACAGTTTACATCCTCAGCAGAGGCCACACAAATGGAATTCAACCGGCAGTAGGCTATACATTCTGATCATATCTTTATTATTTAAAAACATAAAACAATATAAATAACTGTGACACAAACTTGAAGACATAAAAACATATTGCACTATGGGGGTCTTTCTGAAACTCCACCATATTCAATATGTGAAATAATTGCATTAATTCTTTACACATAGTGCTGCAGAGGGGTAACCCTGTCATCTTAATGCAATGTCAACCATTTACACACACAAACAAAACCCACTGAAGGCAGGATGAACAGCCTTTTTGATCAATATGAGAGCAGCTTGACCAAATAAAAATGTAGTCTAAGGCTTACACTTCAAAACAGTCGTGTAGGCTCCAACACTTTGAGCAAGTAGAATCTTGGCTTGAAAGCTGGGCAGTATGAAAATGTATGCACTCACTAACTGTAAGTCGCTTTGGATAAGAGCGTCTGCTAAATGACTAAAATGTAAAGTGTAAATAGCCTCTTTCACATTAATAATACAATGTGACCATATAAGGGGATAAAGCGTTCACTAAAACTCTAGGTTGTGCGATGGTTTTTCCTTTTGAGCACTGCTTTCAGCTATAGGCCTATCTTTCCCTCCACATATTGCATAAATTGCCAAACACACTGGTTGCATGTCAACAAGCCTTGGCCCCCGACACTCAAGTAGGCTCCTTGGAACAAGATCCTCAAAGACTACAGCATCATTTCAGGCAGCATCTTGAATGTTTGACAAACGTATTTCTTCTGTAAATTACTTGTATTAGATTATAAGGTACATTTATCAGAAGAATAGATCAGATGATGATCCATAATCGGATTATTATTTATTTTGAACATTATGCTACTGGCTCGCAAGAAAGTCTTTAGTGGGAGACACAAACAGACGTGTTTTTTGTTGTTGAACCTTTCAAGCACAATGACAACAGGTCGTAATGGTGTTTGCAGCCGTACATTAAAGTAAGATAGGGCTACATTATCGCTTACGTCAGCTGTTCATTCGATCACAACAACAGACAGCAGTTTACAGAACCGCTGGAGAGTTTTGATCTCTTCTGTAAAGCTGCACGTGTCGCAGTGTCGAACACCTCCCGAATACCATCCTTTGTTTTAGCAGAACACTCCAAATAGTCATATGCATTAATGCGCACGGCCATGGCGCGCCCGTCCTCTGTTTTCACGGGTTCCTGTTTCATTCTGGACAGCTCGCTCTTAACATTGTCGTCGTTGCGCAAGTCTCTCTTGTTGGCAACTAAAATAATTGGCACGTTGGGACAAAAGTGCTTAACCTCTGGCACCCATTTCTCGGGGATGTTTTCGAGGGAGTCCGGGCTGTCCACGGAAAAGCACATCAGGATGACATCAGTGTCCGGATAGGACAGCGGGCGAAGGCGGTCGTAGTCCTCCTGTCCAGCCGTGTCCCACAGTGCTAGTTGGACTTGCTTGGTGTCCACTTCAATGTCCGCCACATAGTTGTCAAATACAGTTGGCACATAGACCTCAGGAAACTCGTCTTTGCTGAATACAATCAGCAAGCAGGTTTTCCCACACGCGCCGTCACCGACGACGACCAGCTTTTTTCTTATCTCTGCCATTTGTTGCTTTTGGCACAGATAGACCACTTTCCCTTGATTCTAGCTGTTCAACAAATATGACATTCGAAAATAATTCTGTATCAGCTGTCTTTGTGTTAGCTAGCTAAGAAGACTGATTCTGGCTGTAGGCTATGAGTCTTGTTAAAACTTCATTTAACGTATGCTCGTGCGTTTAGCCGCTGGATTCGATAATTTCCAAATATTTCTCCCTGTCCAACCACTGAAGGCTTGCTTTATAAAGAACATGGGTGCTTTCCTAATATAGCAATCCAATCGTAACTACGGAGGTGAGATCATCATTTCGGGTAAAGGAGGTGATTGGATCCCAGTCCTGCTTTGTCGGTAGGGGAGGGTAGCGTACGACGAGGATCATGTCTCGCCCAGATACCGACCTGGGATCAACTAATTTGGCAATATGTCTTTGGCATATTTCCTACATACATTTTTTTTCAATAAATGTTTCCTAATTCACAATCACATAACATAATGTATGAATACTCATTTGACATAGGCCTATATGCCACTATCCATCTGACAAACACATAGGGCCTATCCCTAAAGTATTGCCAGCTCTAGGCCTACAAAAAAAGTATGTTTATATTTCAATAAATTGTGGCTCACAGCTGGCCATCAAATAACAAGATAACAATTCCCAATGTCACGTTTTTTTCCAGGGCCTGAGCTCAGGCAGGCCTATGCTACCCATGAAACAACTTTTTTCTCTCCCCATGAAACAAAGATGATAAGATATTGCAAAATGTCTCAAACCAATAGGACTATTTGAAATGAGCTCATCTAGATTCTGTGTCCTACTGCGCGTGCCATGATGTGTTCCCATTCACAAGAATCATGTTGGCGTTCCAAAAGGCCTAGCTATTCATATACATCATATTGAGGCGATTTAAAGACAATTGATTGAGATAGGAGCATATGAAGTTGAGTCTTCATCGGTTTTTGTCACACCAATGGAATTAGTCATAGTTGTCATATTGATTAAACAACATGAAAAATATAGATAATAATAATATGCCATTTAGCAAACGCTTTTATCCAAAGCGAATTACAGTCATGCGTGCATACATTTTTGTGTATGGGTGGTCCCGGGGATCGAACCCACTACCCTGTCGTTACAAGCGCCGTGCTCTACCAGCTGAGCTAAAGAGGACCACCCATACTTTCAGCATTACTGAAAGTTTACACGAATGACTCCCTAGTAGACTTTAATCGATACAGAGAAATCATGCATACTACATGTAAATAATTGACAAATTATGAGTGGGTCATTTTTCATAGGTCCCCTGTTGCTCAGTTGGTAGAGCATGGCGCTTGCAACGCCAGGGTTGTGGGTTCGTTTCCCACGGGGGACCAGTATGAAAAATGTATGCACTCACTAACTAAGAGCGTCTGCTAAATGACAAAAATGTAAAATAGTATATTTTATAATAATCGCAAATATTGGCTTGTTTGACATTTTAGTGCGCAGGTCTAACGTACAACATGCATATAGACTGCAGGGAGGGCACTAGCGTGATAGTCAAACTCCTTCGTTGCACGTTCAATCGTAGCTAATCATTAAAACACGGATCTCCACGGAAACAAAACAATATACATTTCTACCACTGACATTTTGTACAAACATCGCTCTGTACCCGAAAAGACAGCGCGTGAGTATCTACGTTTATATAATGCGATGTATTACGCATTCTCGCTATTTTAAGCGTGGATTATTGCTTTGGTCGTTGAGTATTTCCCCTTTTGTTTAGCGGGTAAGGCCCCTCTCTGTTTGGAACTTGGAGGGGGGCCATGTTGTTAGTGAGTGTGTAGCTAGTTACCCAGCAGCAATGGTGTTTTGTTAATACAGCTCACCAGACGGCATTTGTATGTTTCGCTCGGTTAACAAGGGTTGCTTCTGTTCAACGGCGTATGCACAACGGAGAGTTATGCTTTCATTGTATACACTTATTTAACTACACTAGTAATTTTACTGCGCTGATATTATCAAACTGAAAAGGTAAGGGGCCTCCCTTACTCTGCCTAGCTAGGCTAGTAGCTAACAACCAAATTCAACGTTGACGCTAGATTTGCAAGTGAATTGGTAACGTTAGGTAGCTAGCTAACTTGGCTTCTGTCTACTGTTAGTTTAACGAACAAACATGATAGCCAGCTAGCTAGGCAATATGCTAATTAGCTAGGTATCTAACTACTAGTTCACGAATGGTTGTTTTGCCAGTCTGAGCCAATGACTGAGCTCTGAATTAAGAAGCCAGTTGTCTTGAACAGAGAAATCGTGGACGTAGCTAGGTAGTACTGTAGTTAACTGTTTTTCTGACGTCAGTTTCATGCAAAACTAACCGAGTCTGCTAGCTATAGACATCGTTTGTTGGTTTAGCTAGCTAGTTATAAAGTAGCCAGCTAAGTACCTACCTAACTACTCGTGGTATTCAACATCCTTTTCGTGAAATCAATAACCACAATACTAGCTAGCGAACGTTAATTATCTAGAGACTATGCGAAGTTGCCAGCTAACGTTAGCTAGCTGGCGAATGTTACCAATTTCGCGTAAAACGTGTTTGAATGGCGTTAGCTAACTAGCTAGGTAGTTAAAGTAACGTTAACGAACTATCTACAATATGTAGCTAACGTTAGCTAGCTACTAACTAGGTACGCCGGCTTACTACGTGTGTAATATTTATTTCGCTAGCTAAAGTTAGGAAAACACACATCCGACAACGACGAGTTGAACACTCCAGCCAGACATTCATTGTTCGATTGGCTACGCTAACAAGTTAGCTAGCTAGCTAAATAAGCTAGCAACGGTAGGCTAGATGGCTAGCTAGCGATCCACCTAGCTAACGTTGTTTTGCTAGCTATATCAAGATATTGGTTTTCACTGTCTGTGATGTAGGTAGCGTTAGCTAGTTAAGTTTAACCATGGCATGTTCACGATTGATGTTAGTTATCTAAGGTTAGCTGTTTGGCTAAGAAGGCCAAAGCAAAGCGCATATTACACGGACTTTCGGGACACTACCGACGGTACCGTAACGTAATGACGTTAGCTACCTTAACTATGTAAAGTTAGCTAGCTAAGTACGTTAACGTTAGCTATGTACAACAATGTAATAAATAAGTTGTCTAGATAGCTAGGTAACGTTAGCTAAGTCAAATAAATGGCATGTAACGTCCCCAGAGAAGATTGTTACTAGCTAGAGACAGTGCTTATTTAGCTAGAGACAGTGCTTATTTATGACGCTGACAGTGCTTTATGCTGCAGTTCTGCAGACCTTTCAGCTAATTTATTAAACAAATCAAAGAACGGAAACTCTGTCTTAACGTTTGGGACCAAAAAAGTATATATTTTTAATGATTTTACTAGCTACAGTTAATACACACGTGTATGTTTGGTTGGTTCAATAAGCTTACATTCAATATCAGAAACCTCAGCCTAATGTTTGACAAGTGCAATCCATAGCCAATGTAAAGCAACCCTCTAACATGTTCTGTTATTTCCCCTTCCATAGGCTTCCCCGTGGAATGAGCGTTCCATGCAGCATCCTAGGTATGAATGACGTGGCCTGGCAGGAGACACGAGGTGGGATGCTGCACACAAATGGTGCCCCTGAAGCCGGGGGTGTCAGAGTTCACGGAGGGGGATCCCTGGCAGCCGTAGGGGGAGCAGGGCAGGGTCCTGGAGGGCCACACCCTCTGCAGGGCATGGATAGGGGCCCCAACCCCACCCCAGGTACCCCGCAGCCTCCACTGAGTGGGCGCTCTCAGGACGATGCCACAGTTGGCTACTTCTTCCAGAGGCAGCCTGGGGAGCAGTTGGGAGGTTGCACCCCTAGCAAGCACCGTTGGCCTACAGGAGATGGCAACCACATTGACCAGGTACAATGATTTTGCCAGGGTCAAACTGCTTGGCTACAAACTTCCTGTTTGATAATTATACAATATTTGAACGAAGCAGACCTTAGACCCTTTAGAAACTACTTTACCACCGCAGAGAAGTTATGCCGTTTCAGCCCCCTGGTTCGATTCCAGGCTGTATCACAACCGGCCGTGATTGGGAGTCCCATAGGAAGGCGCACAATTGGCCCGGCGTCGTCCGGGTTTGGCCTGTGTAGGCCGTCATTGTAAATAAGAATTTGTTCTTAACTGACTTGCCTAGTTAAATTAAGGTTACATATATTTTTTTAAATAAATGAAGTAAATTGCACCAGCCAAAGACTGCCGAACCGTTATTCGGTTAGCCTCTGAAAATAAATGTCATCGGTCATGCTTTAGGTTCATTTGCATAATTTAGTGGAATTAAATTGGCACATGTGCATTTTCGTTACTTCATCCTATATCTTATTTATCACACACGCACCGCATACAGAGCCTAGTTTGAGTGGAATAATATCACCTGTTGGACAGCGAGCGCTACAGCTCCTTGAACAGCTGGTTGCTGCTGGAGTGAAACGTGTTCTTATAAGCGCAGTCATTGCGCAACAAATTTTAAATGAAATGTAAAAAACACTTGATGGCACAATTCTAGTTATATTAGCAACCCATCCTTGTTGCGTCTTTAGAGTCCCCCTCTTTCTAAGTTTCTAACTGAGATTTTCATCTGTCACATATGGAACCGCTTGCATCAGGTGCGCTATTTACAGTGCCTTCAAAGTATTCACACCCTAGACTTTTCCCACATTTTGTTGTTACAGCCTGCATTTCAAATTGTTTCAATTGTCCAAGTAGAATTATGTATTTTGATTTCTCTCCAAATTAATTAAAAATGAAAAGCTGAAATGTCTTGAGTAAATAAGTATTCAACCCTTTTGTTATGGCAAGCCTAAATAAGTTCAGGAGAGTAAATTTGCTTCACAAATTGCATGGACTCAATCTGTGTGCAATAATGGTGTTTAACATTATGTTTTAATGACTACCTCATCTCTGTACCCCACACATACAATCATCTGTAAGGTCCCTCAGTCGAGCAGTACATTTCAAACACAGATTCAACCACAAAGACCAGGGAGGTTTTCCGATGCCTCGCAAAGAATGGCACCTGTTAGTAGATGAGTAAACAAATAAAAAAGCAGACTTTGAATAGCCCTTTGAGCATAGTGAAGTTATTAATTACAATTTGGATGGTGTATCAATACACCTAGTCACTACAAAGATACAGGCGTCCTACCTAACTCAGTTGCTGGAGAGGAAGGAAACCGCTCAGGGATTTCACCATGAGGCCAATGGTAACTTGAAAACAGCTAGAGTTTAATGACTGTGATAAGAGGAAACTGAGGATGGATCAACAACATTGTAGTTACTCCACAATACTAAGCTAATTGACAGTGAAAGAAGGAAGCCTGTATAAAATACAAATATTCCAAAAGATGCCTCCTGTTTGCAACAAGGCACTAAAGTAATACTGCAAAAAAAATGTGGCAAAGCAATTAACTTTTTGTCCTGAATACAAAGGGTTATGTTTGGGGCAAATCCAATACAACACATTGAGTACCACTATATTTTCAAGCATAGTGACGACTGTATCATGTTATGGGTATGCTTGTAATCCTTAAGGACTGGGGAGTTTTTCAGGATGATAAATAAACAGAATGGCACTAAGCACAGGCAAAATCCTAGAGGAAAACATGGTTCAGTCTGCTTTCCACCAGACACTGGGAAATGAATTCACCTTTCAGCAGGATGATAACCTAAAACACAAGGCCACATCTACACTGGAGTGGCTTACCAAGAAGATGGGGAATGTTCCTGAGTAGCCGAGTTACAGCTTTGACTTAAATCATGGCCCAGCGTCGTCCGGGTTTGGCCGGTGAAGGCCGTCATTGTAAATAAGAATTTGTTCTTAACTGACTTGCCTAGTTAAATAAAGGTACAATAAAATCTGCTTGAAAATCTATGGAAAGACTTAAATGGTTGTCTAGCAATGATCAACAACCAATTTGACAGAGCTTGAAGAATTTTGAAAATAATGTGCAAATATTGTACAATCCAGGTGTGCAAAGCACTTAGACTTACCCAGAAAGACTCACAGCTGTAATCGCTGCACTTTGTCATTATGGGGTGTTGTGTGTAGGGGGGGAAATGTATTTAATACATTTTGAATTTGGGCTGTAACACGTGGAATAATTCAAGGGGTATGAATACTTTCTGAAGGGACTATAGAATGGTATTTTCCTGCGAATTGAATTTTGGCAAATGTTTGAAATTATCTTTTACATTGGCTGCTTCATTACAGTAGTTGTATGTTCAATAATACATCATTTTGGCTGTGAGACAATTGGCTTGTTACGGTTGCATGTTTCAATTAAACTCAATGAAAAATGTCAGTTCCTTGTATGTATGCTTAGTATCTTCTGTTGTGGGGGGGGGGGGGGGGGGGGTCTCAGTCAGTGATCTCTCGCACAAAGGGAAAAGGCTTTGCTGATATCTAATATCAATGACTTAAAATGGGAAAAATAACATCTATTGTGTCTAGGGATGTTAATCGGTTAGCTGCCGAAAATAAATTTGACCTGTTGTGCTTATCGGTCTATAGGTTAATTTGCATAATTTCGTGGAATTAAATTGTCTCGTGTATTTTCATTAGTTGTCATGTATCTTATTTATCACGCGCACAGCATACAGAGCCTAGTTTGATGAGGGGAATGGCCTATCACTTGTTTTGACAGCGCGAGAGCGTCCTCAAAAAGCATGTACTGGAGTGAAACCTGCTTTTATAAGGCCAGTCATTGCGCAACAAATAACAATTCTGAATGCAATCGCGTGTTAACTGTTTTGATGGGCATGATTTAAAGGGGGTAAAAAGTTGTTTTTTAATTTCTCCATCTCAACTTGTAATTAAAGCGTGCCTCCCAGGCAGGCTATCAGTGCGTCACCCACCACTTTACAACGTGAGTGTGAGGCATTATAATTGATTGAAACCTGAATGTTTTACTTTCCTTCAGATAATGATAATTGTCTTGCCTTGCCTCAAAGGAGCGTAGCCAAAATCCAACCATAGAAATGTGAAGGCAATTCAGTGTCGCTTTATTTGAAGTGCATTTTATGACGGCTTCTTAAGAACTACAGAGTCCTCACAAATCATCTATAACCGTATATATTATGATCTATAAAGATTAACAATGTGGCATAACTGTGTGACACAACCATCAATTTATTTGTTCATGCTCTATTAAACCTTTATAGAGCATGTACGTTTATAGATTTGTGACCTGTTTATGCAGTGCTTTATTATCAAAAATATTTTTCATTGTGTGGCAAAATTTCTTTGTGTGGGCGGAGCCCTGCTTCAATAATGCAACACTGCATGTATAAATGTTAATTACAGGCTAGAATACTTTACAATACAAGCAGATATGAGTAGCTTCCAGTTTTGTAGACTTACGTTCCTTGCTAGGTTACAGCTGAAGCGAACATCAATTCACTACCCTAGTACTTTGTTTGTGATAATATACAAACTATAACGCAAAATATGGTGATTTCAAAGCTGATTGTCATCAAAAACCATAGTCCGTGTCATTGCCACTACCTTTATTAATTAACTTTGTCTCCCTTGCTTCAAGTCTCTTCTGTCTCACTGTGTGTGAATGACATCACTAGGTCTTAAAGAGACAGCGCACACTTCTTAAAAATATAAAACAAGAGGTTGCGTCTTATATGAAAATGTTAAGTACAATAAAATAAGTCCCATATCGAAGGCAAACATCTGTAGCCCTATGAAACCAGCCAAAATAAGGGAAATAACTTGATGCATGCACACTCATATTGAATATGCATTCTACAGTATAGTGAATGGGGCTACGCTTAATCTTGATTTACCCAGTTTATCAATATAGATTTACCTTTAAAATAAATGATTATGATATTAATGTAGTTAGATTGGTAAAAAGTCAAATTGATTGTATAAACAGTCACTGGTCATGTCATTGTCGGTGTGACCAAATCATGTGCTGGTGCCATCAACTGAAAAAATTGGTAGCACCAGTGGAGAAGGTTAGTCTAGAACCCTGGTAAGTTATTTCTATATGAATTAAGGTTAATTTATTTAAACTTTTAATGTTGAGGACAATAAAATGTAAATGAGTGATGTTTTATAGAAAACTTGCAAGTGCTACAGGAGTTGGCATCAATTTGCTTTCCTCCAATTTCGCTATGATGACCAGAGCTAGCCTATTACAAATCAGGATACCATATTCACCTGGTCGAATTGTGTGTGCTGTAACTGACTGAAACCAAACATTTTTTCCTATCTCAGGTTCGCACCGTGGATGAGATGAACTATGGTTTTCAAGCCCTTGCTTTGGAGTCCAGGGGCATGGGTGAGGTAGGTTGAGATCCGCCACATTGCAAGTTTCTTCCCTTTTAAACTTAGGTTCTGTGCTACATCTTCCAGAATGTTGAAGTTGCCATTTTGCCTTCTCTTTACAGATGCTGCCAGCAAAGAAACTGTGGGATTCAGATGAATTGGCCAAGGATGGAAGGAAAGGGATGCTCCTTGGAGAGGAGTGGCGGGAGAATGCCTGGGGATCTTCTCGTGAGTGTAGTTTTCTGTGCCTCTGCTGGTCTGTCTGTATGTGTTTTACCCTCAGGTTTTTTGAGAGCCGCAATGACTGGAAGTCTATCTGCTAGTAGATACCCATAGATTTCCAGTCATTGCGCTAACGGTAGTTAGCATTGGCTCGCAAAACTGCCTCTAACTTCCTCATACTGGACACAGAGACATAACAATGGTATCTGAGTTCATCTGATTAAGGGGAAGTAGATAAAGTATCAAAATGACCAATTCAACCCAAAAATCTTAATGTCCTTCTATGCATAAATAAATAGTAGGCTTGGGCGGTATCCAGATTGTCATACCTTCATTACCGACCTTGTGCCATCCCGGGATATCCGGTAATGCCGGCAATGAAAACAAGTGGCGCTGATTACACACTGTCTGCAATCCAAAGGTTATTAGGTTTGGGGGACCCTGGTATAAACGTTATATTTTTCGAACTACCCACGGTATGATTTTCAATACCTTGCGGGCGTGCGTGCTACGCCACTGCTTATAACTATAAGTTAAGTATAACTATAAGATGTGTGAAATTATATCCAGCTCAGGCCTCCAGCTATGCATTTGCAGGGCTCTATGCTGACCTTTTTTACAAGGAGCATGCGTGCGCCTAAGTAAAAATGTTTTCGTTTTGAATTCCATACTTCTAACTAGATCACCTGGCGCATGCTGCACAACAGTGAGTGAGTGACTCACAAGGCTCTGGTCTCGCATCGTTGTGTGCTTGTAAACAAAATATGTGACTGGGGACTACTGGTAAGCTTCAGAATAAAAAATGATGTGACCGGTGAAATGAAGAACGCGATCAGCTTAACTCCTAACGTATTGCACAAGTTGACTGCAGGTATTTACTTACAAAGTAGCAAAATGGTTAAAAGGTATAGTTTCAACGGTATTGATGATATGGAAAAACCATCCGTGGCTATTTCCAAATACCCCGGTATACCGCCCAAGCCTAACAAATAGCCTTAGAGTTTAGTGCGGGAAGTTGAAATACTGCAGTTAATACTCAGTTCAACTGGTACCATTAAGACCATGCAGATAGCTTTTTCAAGAAATCTGCTGAAACTCCTCCTCTTCTTGAGGAATTGACCAAGCACAATCTTCCTATTATGAGCATGTCTCACAGTCCTTGATGTCTCTCTTCTTCGCTCCGCCCCCATTCCTCTGATGAGCAGATCACTCAGTGTCCCAGCCTATCATGGTGCAGAGGCGACCCGGACAGGGTTTCCATGGGAACGGCGATGCCAGCTCTGTGCTGTCCCCTCGCTCCGAGGGCGGAGGCCTGGGCGTGAGCATGGTGGAGTACGTCCTGAGCTCCTCCCCCGGTGACAAGATGGATGGCCGCTACAGGAACGGTGGCTATGTAAGTCTTTCTGCCAAGGGTCTCTCTTGCTCTCTCCCCTTCGCCAATCCACTCAGAACCAAGAGAAGACCTACATCGGGGTCAATCGATGGGTTAGCTGACAATGTCACAAACGATGCACTTGCTAAAATGGGGCAGAAGTCTGTGTGTTTATGATTATGGATGACCACATGGCTAGCAACAATGACAAGAAGCTGCCATGTGGGGAATCGTAGGTGGCTTGTTTCAGCTAGTTTTTGATACCATCTTGTTCTTGATACCATGTCTTGTTTTCAGGTGTTTTGACTATCATGTCTATGCTAATATGGTTAATATTTGCTAGCTAGCTAGCTAGCTAACCAACAACTAACAATATATTTGAGACAACAGGTGCTCATTGTGCACGTTTATTTATGTTTTCAATAAACAGTGGAGACAAAATATAGTTTAAATGGGTTGGGCTCTAGCCTCATGTTCTCCAATGGAGAATTGCTTCTCTTTGGACAAACAAGCATCAATGTTTTTTTTGGTTTTGCAGGGCGGAGGGGACGTTGACCCTGACAGGAGGGAGAAGGGTGACGCGCAAGACAAGACGTCTCCGTTCGAAGAGGACAAGAGCCCTGACATGAAAGTGGGAGAGGAGAGTGACAGCAACGGGAGAGGCCTGCTCAACGGCATGGACAGAGACTGCAAAGACTTCAAGTACGGTTCCTTTTTAGTGGTTATTTGGGGGTGAATGGGGGGGTCATGAAATAATCATTATAAGATGTATTTACCAATCCTTCACCGCACTTGAAGTTCCCTCTCTGGAGAATGAAATGTATTTGAATTGAGTTATGCAGATAAGACGTTCAAGTCACTTCCAAGCTGTATTATATCCTTTTTTTGTTTGGTTAAGGCAGTCAGTCCTTGAGACTTTGCATAGAGACAGTTGTGAACAAAGCCTCAAAGACCATATCGTCACATGTACTCCCCCCCCCCCCCCCCCCCCCCACTTCAACAGCCCCACCCCAGGAAGTCGCCAGGCCTCCCCCATTGAGGCGGTGGAGAGGATGGGCCCTGGCCAGGCTGGGCTGGAGATGATGACCCAGCACCACGCACAGCACCACGCCATGCAGCCCCAGAATCCAGCTCAGAACAAGCCCCAGCAGCAGGAGGACTTCCAGAGCCAGGAGACCCAGAACATAGGCGGCATGGAGCAGCAGCAGGGCGTGGAGTCCCTCCAGTTCGACTACGCTGGCAACCAGATCCAGGTGGACTCCTCTGGCACCCCCGTTGGCCTGTTTGACTACAACTCCCAGCAGCAGGTGGGTTGAACCAGGAACTAGGGACCAGATTTCTGTCAATGCATAGATACACCTGCTTGAGAGTAGTGGAAACTGGCATATTAAAAGCATCTAACTTGTTCTGTTTGTTTTCCAGTTGTTCCAGCGGTCCAACCATCTGACTGTCCAGCAGCTTACTGCCGCCCAGCAGCAACAGTATGCCCTGGCTGCTGCCCAGCAACAACACCTTGGTAAGTTGTAGTTTTATTACTATAGACAGTGTATGTACTGTGGATTTATTTATACATCTGCTTGGCTCCAAACGGTACACGTACAGACAAGGATTAGAGCATGTTTGTGCAAGATTGGGTAGTCATAGTTAGTGTTAAGTTAGAATGTTTTGTAAGTGAAAAATTTACTGAATGCCGTACTAGTTTGGTTTTGACGGCTATTTGATGATGTGTTATTCAATATCGACGCATGGCTAACTGTTTTCTCTAGCCGGCCTCGCTCCCACGTTCGTGCCAAACCCATACATCATCAACGCTGGACCCCCCGGAGCCGACCCCTACACCGCTGCTGGACTTGCCGCAGCAGCTACACTTGCCGGTTAGCAATCCACACACATACAGTGGTGGAGAAAGTACCCAATTGTCATACTTGAGTAAAAGTAAAGATACCTTAATAGAAAATGACTCAAGTAAAAGTGAAAGTCACCCAGTAAAATACTACTAGAGTACAAGTCTGAGTATTTGGTTTTAAATATACTTAAGTATCAAAAGTAGATATAATTGCTAAAATATACTTAAGTATCAAAATTAAAAGTACAAGTGTATATAAATAATTTCAAATTCCTTATATTAAGCAAACCAGGCTGCCACATTTTCTATTTTATTTTATTTACAGATAGCCAGGGGCACACTCCAACACTAAGACATCATTTACAAACGAAGCATGTGTTTAGTGAGTCCGGCAGATCAGAGGCAGTAGGTGATGACCAGAGATGTGCTCTTGATAAGTGTGTGAATTAGACAATTTTCCTGTCCTGCTAAGCATTCAAAATGTAACGAGTACTTTTGGGTGTCAGGGGAAATGTATGCAGAAAAAGTACATAATACTGTTTAGGAATGTAGTAAAGTAAAAGTTGTCATAAATGTTGAAGTACAGATACCCCAAAAAAACTACTTAAGTAGTACTTTAAAGTATTTTTACTTAAGTACTTTACACCACTGCACACATACACACTGTACTCATACATAGCACCCTTTTCACTCTGAATGTGTACCGTCATTAATAGCTTCTTTATTTACATTTTAGTCATTTAGCAGACGCTCTTATCCAGAGCGACTTACATGAACAATTAGGGTTAAGTGCCTTGCTTAAGGGCACATTGGCAGATTTTTCACCTAGTCCACACTAATGTAACAATCTTCTACTTAAATGAATGCAACAATTGTATCAAATCGTTCATGCCACAGGTTTGGTAGTAGTAACTGAGGACTCCCTTCCCTTAGGGCCTACAGTGGTTCCCCCCCAGTACTATGGTGTTCCTTGGGGCGTGTACCCTGCCAACCTCTTCCAGCAACAGGCGGCGGCGGCTGCCAGTCACAACGCTAATCAGCAGGCATCCAATCAGGGGCCGGGACAGCAACAGGTAAGCATTTCACCGACTAACAGCAGCTAACTGGAGAATGAATTTGAGTATTGATGAGTTATGACGAAGGAGTATTCAAAGTGATCATGATTGATGTTGTCATTTTAAGTGAGGTTGGTGCTCTTCTCTCTCCAGGTGATGCGTGCCGGGAACAACCAACGCCCACTCACCCCTGGTCAGGGCCAGCAGAGCCAGCAGGAGTCCCTGGCAGCCGCCGCCGCCAACCCGGCCCTCGCTTATGCTGGTATGCCAGGTCGGTGACACTATACACAGAGTAGCATTAGTTTAGGAGCAGACATAAGGCCTTTTTCCCACGCTATATTCAAATGCCAGTATGCTTTCTACAAACGGTGGAATAGGCAAAATATGATAACACAACTACTGATGGCAGTAGATAACTACTGTAGCTAACTAGCCAGCTAACCTCTGACGCTAGCAAGCAGCAATAAAAGGGATTGCTTATGGGTTAGCATAACTAGCCAAACACTTTTTTTAATTTTCGAAATATTAGCTAGCATTTATGAGGCCAGCAAACATGTTCTTCGCATGCTATGAACCTATTTCCTCCGTTTATAATGAAAAGGTGCCTCTCGGGTCCCAAAACACATGTTTTCTGGAGTCTTGTGGGAGAAGTGCTGATTATGTCGCCCACTGTATTCACTTTAGGTAGCCTGATTGCGTCCAGACTGAGGAGAAATCTGCACACAATGCATCCCTGACCACCTCCTGAAGTGGTCAGCCAGATCTGAACACAATCAGACCACAAAGCGACATTTGTGCGTCTAGATCCAGTTTTCTTGTAAAACATTTTGTATATGCTATCTTCATATTCTGATCGCAGAAGTCGCATGTAAGTGTCAAGTGTAGACACAAAGTTGGTTGCAGGAACCGTGCTGCAAAGGACAAATTTGAAACGAGAATAGCACGGTGTGTGAAAAGTGTAAGACCGCTGGTCACATGCACTAAATAGGCCTCACGAGCCGACCCAAAGAGTGAGCGATGAAGTGTAGCATTTGAATATATCATCCTTGCTCTCTGCATTCTATGCATCAATGCCGCTCTTGAAGCCTTCGAAGGCATGTTGAGGATTGCCCTGTAGCCCCTTTAAACATGCTTAACAGGTCTGTATAGTGTTTAAGGGGGAGATACTTTGATATGCAAACTCATCTCTCATATTCACACTGTCGGAATACCTTTTGTGTGCATACTTCTTCCACCTGCCTTTCTCTTGCTTATGATTATGGTGCAATAAGATACCACATCTTCAGTGCCCTCACGCTCCCTGTTGTAGATCACACACACACTCCAGGCTGGTTTTCATAAGTGCGTTTCCCCTCAGTGTGTCTGTCTCCTGCCCACCCAGGTTACCAGATGCTGGCCCCCGCCGCCTACTACGACCAGAACGGGACCCTGGTGATGGCCTCCGGGGCCCGTGGCGGTTTGGGAGGGCCCGTCCGCCTGGTCCAAACCCCGCTTCTCATCAACCCACAGGCCGCAGCGCAGGCTGGTGAGTACCAAGAGTTGTCTGGCCCCATGCTCTCATACTGTTGCATTGTGGGAAATTGTGTATTTTAAAGGAGGCTTAGCAGCCAGTGGAATGAGTGCCACATTTAGTGTGAACACACCATTACTGTGCTTGTGAGAATTGAGCAGGAATTTATATCTCCAGACTCTCACTCTTGCAATGACGTGAATTAATTGCTAATGCCGATGGGACTGTCCCACAGTTTTATGGCACTTATCCACCTCCTGTCCTCTCCTAATGGGCCGCGTTGACCTAGTTTTGCTCCCCCTCTCTTTCCATCCCTCTCCTCTCTCCCTCCATTTAGCGGCCGCGGCGTCAGCATCCGGCTCGGGCAACAGCATGTCTGGCCCTCAGCCCAACGGCCTGTACCGCTCCATGCCGCAGCAGCAACAGCAACAGCAGCCCCCGCCCCAGAACCAGGGCCTGCCCTCCAGCTCCTTCTATGGCTCCGGGTCGGTGCCGGCCAGCTCCCAGAGCAGCTCCCTGTTCTCCCACACATCCCAGGCCCCGCCGCCCACTTCCTCCCTGGGCTTCAGCGGCACCGGCGGCTCCCTGGGCGCGGGTCTGGGCTCAGCGCTCGGAGGCTTCGGCTCTTCAGGTTAGTGGAGAAGGAACTTGCAGGTTCAGGTTAATCATTATACATATGCAAAAAGCATGCATAAAATGTTATGCCATGCACCACAACATTTTTTATATTTTTCTCTTGGCAATTAACTGAGTTTTCCAAGATGGTGCATCTGTACCCCTGCTTTCGATTCTCTGGTGTTCTCTCCTTTCTCTCTCCTCCCTCTTATTTGTTTTTGTTCTCCCCTCTCCTAATTTCACCGTCTTCATTTCTCTCCCTCCCGTAGTGTCGAGCTCTACCAGCAGCAGCGTCTCTCGCCGGGACTCCCTGCTGGCAAGTTCTGACCTGTACAAGCGTGGCGGCAGCAGCCTCACCCCCATTGGCCAGCCCTTCTATAACAGCCTAGGCTACTCCTCCTCGCCCAGTCCCATTGGCCTAACGCCGGGCCACTCCCCCCTCACACCCCCACCCTCTCTGCCATCATCTCACGGCTCCTCCTCCAGCCTTCACCTGGGTAAGGCCGCAAGTTAAACCGTTTTTCAATATTTTATTTTAGTTCGAGCGTATAGCGTTACGGCCAAATAAATTGGCACCCTTGCATTTTCCTTAAATAATTATCTATTTCTTCTCAAATAAGTTGAAATTGGAAGAAACCTTTGGTCTCCACACCTTGTTATTGGATACTGGCAATTTGGCCCGCTCTTCATTAGCAGCAAACAGTGCCCTCACCCAACTGCTGTTTTCAGATCCTGCCATAGGGTTTTGCTGGCCATTTCAGAACAGTCCGTCGTTTCTTGTTGAACCATTCCTGGGTGCTTTTTGATGTGTGTTTGGGGTTGTTTTCCTGCTGGAAGACCCACAACCTTCAATGGAGACTGAGTTTTCGGACTCTGGGTTGAACATTGGACTCAAATACCTGATCTGCTGATTTCATGAGTCCTTGAGCACATTCAAGGCCCCCAGTACTTGAGGCAGCAAAGCAACCATACAGCATTATCAAACCTCCCCCATATTTAATTGTAGGGAGGGTGTTCTTGTCATTGAATGCTTAATTTGGTCATCGGTAAACACAGCGCCAATCTGTATTGCCAAAGAGCTCTGATTTTGTTCCATTGGTCCACAGAACATTTCCCCAGGATTTAGGCTTGTTTAGGTGGGTTTTTGAGAAGTTCAATCAGGCTTTCTTGTCTCCTTCAGCAGTGGGGTCTTTCTGTTTACCAACGACCAAATTAAGTATTCAAAGAAAAGAACACCCTCCCTTCAATCAAACATGGGGGAGGTACGCTAATGCTTTGGTCTTGCTTTGCTGTCTCTGGTACTGGTAGCCTTGAACGTGTGCAAGATATCATTAAATCAGAAGCTTATCAAGATGTTTTGGAGTGCAATCTTCAACCCAGTGTCCAAAAACTGTTAAAGTTGTGGGTCTTCCAGCAGGACAAAAACCCCAAGAACACATCAAATCAATTTTATTTTATATAGCCCTTCGTACATCAGCTAATATCTCGAAGTGCTGTACAGAAACCCAGCCTAAAACCCCAAACAGCTAGTAATGCAGGTGTAGAAGCACGGTGGCTAGGAAAAACTCCCTAGAAAGGCCAAAACCTAGGAAGAAACCTAGAGAGGAACCAGGCTATGAGGGGTGGCCAGTCCTCTTCTGGCTGTGCCGGGTGGAGATTATAACAGAACCATGCCAAGATGTTCAAAAATGTTCATAAGTGACAAGCATGGTCAAATAATAATCAGGAATAAATCTCAGTTGGCTTTTCATAGCCGATCATTAAGAGTTGAAAACAGCAGGTCTGGGACAGGTAGGGGTTCCATAACCGCAGGCAGAACAGTTGAAACTGGAATAGCAGCAAGCCAAGGCGGACTGGGGACAGCAAGGAGTCACCACGGCCGGTAGTCCCGACGTATGGTCCTAGGGCTCAGGTCTCTCAGTTGGCTTTTCATAGCCGATCATTAAGAGTTGAAAACAGCAGGTCTGGGACAGGTAGGGGTTTCGTAACCGCAGGCAGAACAGTTGAAACTGGAATAGCAGCAAGGCCAGGCGGACTGGGGACAGCAAGGTGTCAGCATGTCCGGTAGTCCTGACGTATGGTCCTAGGGCTCAGGTTCTCAGAGAGAAAGAGAGAACGAGAGAATTAGAGAGAGCATACTTAAATTCACACAGGACACTGGATAAGACAGGAGAAGTACTCCAGGTATAACCAACTAACCCCAGCCCCCCGACACATAAACTACTGCAGCATAAATACTGGAGGCTGAGACAGGAGCGGTCCGGAGACACTGTGGCCCCATCCGAAGAAACCCCCGGACAGGGCCAAACAGGAAGGATATAACCCCACCCACTCTGCCAAAGCACAGCCCCCGCACCACTAGAGGGATATCCTCAACCACCAACTTACAATCCTGAGACAAGGCCGAGTATAGCCCACAGAGGTCTCCACCACAGCACAAACCAAGGGGGGGCGCCAACCCAGACAGGAAGATCACGTCAGTAACTCAACCCACTCAAGTGACGCACCCCTCCTAGGGACGGCATGAAAGAGCACCAGCAAGCCAGTGACTCAGCCCCTGTAACAGAGTTAGAGGCAGAGAACCCCAGTGGAGAGAGGGGAACCGGCCTGGCAGAGACAGCAAGGGCTGTTCGTTGCTCCAGAGTCTTTCCGTTCACCTTCACACTCCTGGGCCAGACTACACTCAATCATATGACCTACTGAAGAGATAAGTCTTCAGTAAAGACTTAAAGGTTGAGACCGAGTCTGCGTCTCTCACATGGGTAGGCAGACTGTTCCATAAAAATGGAGATCTATAGGAGAAAGCCCTGCCTCCCGCTGTTTGCTTAGAAATTCTAGGGACAATTAGGAGGCCTGCGTCTTGTGACCGTAGCGTACGTATTGGTATGTACGGCAGGACCAACTCGGAAAGATAGGTAGGAGCAAGCCCATGTAACGCTTTATAGGTTAACAGTAAAACCTTGAAATCAGCCCTTGCCTTAACAGGAAGCCAGTGTAGGGAAGCTAGCACTGGAGTAATATGATCAAATTTCTTGGTTCTAGTCAGGATTCTAGCAGCCGTATTTAGCACTAACTGAAGTTTATTTAGTGCTTTATCCGGGTAGCCGGAAAGTAGAGCATTGCAGTAGTCTAACCTAGAAGTAACAAATGCATGGATTAATTTTTCTGCATCATTTTTGGACAGAACATTTCTGATTTTTGCAATGTTACGTAGATGGAAAAAAGCTGTCCTTGAAACAGTCTTGATATGTTCGTCAAAAGAGAGATCAGGGTCAAGAGTAACGCCGAGGTCCTTCACAGTTTTATTTGAGACGACTTTACAACCATCAAGATGAATTGTCAGATTTAACAGAAGATCTCTTTGTTTCTTGGGACCTAGAACAAGCATCTCTGTTTTGTCCGAGTTTAAAAGTAGAAAGTTTTCAGCCATCCACTTCCTTATGTCTGAAACACAGGCTTCTAGCGAGGGCAATTTTGGGGCTTCACCATGTTTCATTGAAATGTACAGCTGTGTGTCATCCGCATAGCAGTGAAAGTTAACATTATGTTTTCGAATAACATCCCCAAGAGGTAAAATATATAGTGAAAACAATAGTGGTCCTAAAACGGAACCTTGAGGAACACCGAAATGTACAGTTGATTTGTCGGAGGACAGACCATTCACAGAGACAAACTGATATCTTTCCGACAGGTAAGATCTAAACCAGGCCAGAACTTGTCCGTGTAGACCAATTTGGGTTTCCAGTCTCTCCAAAAGAATGTGGTGATCGATGGTGTCAAAGGCAGCACTAAGGTCTAGTAGCACGAGGACAGATGCAGAGCCTCGGTCTGACGCCATTAAAAGGTCATTTACCACCTTCACAAGTGCAGTCTCAGTGCTATGATGGGGTCTAAAACCAGACTGAAGCATTTCGTATACATTGTTTGTCTTCAGAAAGGCAGTGAGTTGCTGCGCAACAGCTTTTTCTAAAATTTTTGAGAGGAATGGAAGATTCGATATAGGCCGATAGTTTTTTATATTTTCCGGGTCAAGGTTTGGCTTTTTCAAGAGAGGCTTTATCACTGCCACTTTTAGTGAGTTTGGTACACATCCGGTGGATAGAGAGCTGTTTATTATGTTCAACATAGGAGGGCCAAGCACAGGAAGCAGCTCCTTCAGCAGTTTAGTAGGAATAGGATCCAGTATGCAGCTTGAAGGTTTAGAGGCCATGATTATTTTCATCATTGTGTCAAGAGATATAGTACTAAAACACTTAAGTGTCTCTCCCGATCCCAGGCCCTCGCAGAGCTGTGCAGATCCAGGACAGCTAAGCCCTGGAGGAATACGCAGATTCAAAGAGGAGTCCGTAATTTGCTTTCTAATGGTCATGATCTTTTCCTCAAAGAAGTTCATGAATTTATCACTGCTAAAGTGAAAGCCATCCTCTCTTGGGGAATGCTGCTTTTTAGTTAGCTTTGCAACAGTATCAAAAAGAAATTTTGGATTGTTCTTATTTTCCTCGATTAAGTTGGAAAAGTAGGATGATCGAGCAGCAGTGAGGGCTCTTCGGTACTGCACGGTACTGTCTTTCCAAGCTAGTCGGAAGACTTCCAGTTTGGTGTGGCGCCATTTCCGTTCCAATTTCCTGGAAGCTTGCTTCAAAGCTCGGGTATTTTCTGTATACCAGGGAGCTAGTTTCTTATGACAAATGTTTTTCGTTTTTAGGGGTGCAACTGCATCTAGGGTATTGCGCAAGGTTAAATTGAGTTCCTCAGTTAAGTGGTTAACTGATTTTTGTCCTCTGACGTCCTTGGGTAGGCAGAAGGAGTCTGGAAGGGCATCAATGAATTTTTGTGTTGTTTGAGAATTTATAGCACGACTTTTGATGCTCCTTGGTTGGGGTCTGAGCAGATTATTTGTTGCGATTGCAAATGTAATAAAATGGTGGTCCGATAGTCCAGGATTTTGTGGAAAAACATTAAGATCTACAACATTTATTCCATGGGACAAAACTAGGTCCAGAGTATGACTGTGGCAGTGAGTAGGTCCAGAGACATGTTGGACAAAACCCACTGAGTCGATAATGGCTCCGAAAGACTTTTGGAGTGGGTCTGTGGACTTCTCCATGTGAATATTAAAATCACCAAAAATTAGAATATGATCTGCTATGACTACAAGGTCTGATAGGAATTCAGGAAACTCAGAGAGGAACGCTGTATATGGCCCAGGAGGCCTGTAAACAGTAGCTATAAAAAGTGATTGAGTAGGCTGCATAGATTTCATGACTAGAAGCTCAAAAGATGAAAACGCCATTTTTTTTTTTGTAAATTGAAATTTGCTATCGTAAATGTTAGCAACACCTCCGCCTTTGCGGGATGCACGGGGAATATGGTCACTAGTGTAACCAGGAGGTGAGGCCTCATTTAACACAGCAAATTCATCAGGCTTAAGCCATGTTTCAGTCAGGCCAATCACATCAAGATTATGATCAGTGAGTAGTTCATTGACTATGACTGCCTTTGAAGTGAGGGATCTAACATTAAGTAACCCTATTTTGAGATGTGAGGTATCACGATCTCTTTCAATAATGGCAGGAATGGAGGAGGTCTTTATCCTAATAAGATTGCTAGGGCGAACACCGCCATGTTTAGTTTTGCCCAACCTAGGTCGAGGCACAGACACAGTCTCAATGGGTATGGCTGAGCTGACTACACTGACTGTGCTATTGGCAGACTCCACTAAGCTGGCAGGTTGGCTAACAGCCTGCTGCCTGGCCTGCACCCTATTTCACTGTGGGGCTAGAGGAGTTAGAGCCCTATCTATGTTGGTAGATAAAATGAGAGCACCCCTCCAGCTAGGATGGAGTCCGTCACTCCTCAGCAGGTCAGGCTTGGTCTTGTTTGTGTGTGAGTCCCAGAAAGAGGGCCAATTATCTACAAATTCTATCTTTTGGGAGGGGCAGAAAACAGTTTTCAACCAGCGATTGAGTGCTGAGACTCTGCTGTAGAGCTCGTCACTCCCCCTAACTGGGAGGGGGCCAGAGACAATTACTCGATGCCGACACATCTTTCTAGCTGATTTACACGCTGAAGCTATGTTGCACTTGGTGACCTCTGACTGTTTCATCCTAACATCGTTGGTGCCGACGTGGATAACAATATCTCTATACTCTCTACACTCGCCAGTTTTAGCTTTAGCCAGCACCATCTTTAGATTAGCCTTAACGTCGGTAGCCCTGCCCCCTGGTAAACAGTGTATGATCGCTGGGTGATTCGTTTTAAGTCTAATACTGCGGGTAATGGAGTCGCCAATGACTAGGGTTTTCAATTTGTCAGAGCTAATGGTGGGAGCCTTCGGCGTCTCAGACCCCGTAACGGGAGGAGTAGAGACAAGAGAAGACTCAGACTCAGACTCCGACTCGCTACATAATGGGGAAAACCGGTTTAAAGTTTCTGTCGGCTGAATGAGCGACACCGGTTGAGCATTCCAACAGTATTTCCCTCCAGAAGCCATGAGAAAGTTGTCCGGCTGCGGGGACTGTGCGGGGGGATTTATACTAACGTTACTATCTGTACTTACTGGTGGCACAGACGCTGTTTCTTCCTTTCCTACACTGAAATTACCCTTGCCTAACGATTGCGTCTGAAGCTGGGCTTGTAGCACAGCTATTCTCGCCGTAAGGCGATCGTTCTCCTGTATATTATGAGTACAGCGACTGCAATTAGAAGACATCATGTTAATGTTACTACTTAGCTTCGGCTGTTGAAGATGTTGACGAACCATGTCCAGATAAAGCGTCCGGAGTGAAAAAGTTGAATGAGGGAAAAAAGTTGCGATGGAAAAAAGGAAAATAAAGTAAAGTTGGCAGCAAAAACGCACAGGAAAATGACTCTTCTGTCTCGGGATAAAACGTCCGGGGTGAAAAAGTTTAACGAAAAAAAGATGAGTGAGGACAAAACTAAAAAGTTGGTAAATTTGTTGAACACAGAGATTGATTAAACGTTAACACTAGGCTTACACCACTTACATCAAAGCACCCTGGAATGGTTCAAGAAGACACGCAGGACTGATCCTGAGTGGCCAGCGACGAGTCCATATCTGCATCCATAACCTATCGCAAGATCCAAAAACAGCAGTTGGAGGGCACACCTCAAACATTGAAGAATTAGAGCAGTTTGAAGAGTGGGCAGATTTCCAGTAGAATGCTGCAGCAAAGCTCATTGAGGAGGCTACAAGAAGCATTTGTTGGCTGTGCAACCAAGTAGTAGCTCAGGGGCCATTTTCTCCATGCCATTTGTCTTTTTTGTCTAAATGAAAATTGTAAACTGAAGTTAAAATAAAATGTGTTCTGCAATGTAGAATATCTAAGGTTTGGAGACCAAAAGTTAGTCAATTTCAACTTATTTGAGAAGAAATATGGAATTAAGAAAAGTGCAAGGGTGCCAATGTATTTGGCTGCAACTGTACATGAACTTCACTCGACCACTACTCTGCCTAACTGTGCACCTAGACATGCAACATCCATAGAGAGGGAATTCACATTCAAGTTAACGTAGTGAGGGTCGAAAAATAATATTTCTATGGCAACGCCTACTCATCCCTTTGTTCCGCCCTGGCATCCCCAACCCCCAGGCGGCCTGACGAATGGCAGTGGGCGCTACATCTCAGCGGCGCCGGGTGCGGAGGCAAAGTACCGCAGCGCAGGGGCCACCTCCAGCCTGTTCAGCTCCAGCAGCCAGCTATTCCCGCCGTCGCGCCCCCGCTATAGCCGCTCGGACGTCATGCCCAGCGGGCGCAGCCGCCTGCTGGAGGACTTCCGCAACAACCGCTTCCCCAACCTGCAGCTGCGTGACCTGCCCGGCCACATGGTGGAGTTCTCCCAAGACCAGCACGGCTCCAGGTGGGTGATGGATAGACGTACGGATCAACGGACACATACACATACTCTGCTGCATATTACGCCCTCCTATCATGTTCTTGAGACACTTTCTTATCGCTATAATGTTCGGGTTACTCTTAAAATTCCCCTTCTATGCCCCCCCCCCCTCTGTCTCCAGGTTCATCCAGCAGAAGCTGGAGAGGGCCACCCCCGCCGAGAGGCAGATGGTGTTTGGGGAGATCCTGCAGGCGGCCTATCAGCTGATGACTGACGTGTTTGGCAACTACGTCATCCAGAAGTTCTTTGAGGTGGGGACCGTTGTCACAGTTGTAGGGTTAGATTTGATGGCACTCGGGATACTTGTTATCATTGAATCGTAACCATACCAACTTTTAATGTGCCTTCAACCAATATATGTCTGATTTAGCTTTTTACTAGCACCGATATTGCTGATATGTTTTTATTTTTTTTAAGAAGGTTAATCATGATATGTGGTCATTTTAACGACTTGGGATGCACCTATTGTAAGTTAATGTGGATAAGCGCGTTGGCTTAAAATGCATATTATATTCAGCAAACGCTCTTATCAATAATATATGCCATTTACCAGACTCTTTTATCCAAAGCGACTTAATCATGCTTGCATACATTTTCGTATGGGTGGTCCCAGTGGGAATCGAACCCACATTGTGGCACTGCAAGCACCGTGCTCTACCAACTAAGCCAGAGAAGACAGGTCGTCATAATTTTGCATCATCTAAATGTTCTCTGTGTGTCTCTGTGCAGTTTGGCAGTGCAGATCAGAAGCTGGCTCTGGCCACCCGAATCCGCGGCCACGTGCTGCCCCTGGCCCTGCAGATGTACGGCTGCCGGGTGATCCAGAAGGCCCTGGAGTCCATCTCCTCCGACCAGCAGGTAATTGTAAGTGGATCTTCACTTCTCTTCTGATTTTAGATGACATTTTTTTTGGGGGGGGGGGGCTTCTAGGTTGTGTCCCAAATGCCACCCTATTCCCTATATACAGTGCACTACTTTTGACCAGTGCCCCATGGGCCCTGGTCAAAAGTTGTGCACTATAAAGGAAATATGGTGGCATTTGGGACGTTGCCCTAGTGTTATTGTTTTCTGAGTAGTGTACTCTCCAGTAAGCATGGGTAAGCTGTGTAATATGGTCCTGTTGTCCTTCTCTGTCCACTTTGAACAGCCTTAAGCATCTTTGAATAGCCCTTTACATTGAGGACTATGGTAGACAGAGCATCAAGCAATTAGAAGGAAGAAAATGGATGTGTTCTGTATAAATAAAATGACTTTGTCGTTCTATTTCAATGGGATTAACATAGACGGGTAGAAAAATGGTCAGAAGATGTATGGGGGAGAGATGGATGGATGAATTACTCCTCTCCCTCTCGATCCCCTTCATCAGAGTGACATAGTGCGGGAGCTGGACGGCCACGTGCTGAAGTGTGTGAAGGATCAGAACGGAAACCATGTGGTGCAGAAGTGTATCGAGTGTGTCCAGCCCCAGGCCCTGCAGTTTATCATCGATGCCTTCCAGGGCCAGGTGAGAGCCCATTCATTAGGGCATGCAATGGAAAACTGTTTGCAACAGAAAAGGAAAATGTGTTTCTGATTGGACAATTTCATGTTACATCGTTTTTTACATCGTTTTTTTCTCTGTTTAGTGCTTAATGAACACGACCCAGAAAACATGAACACAACTGCCAGTCACATTGTGTTCAGCAGGGCACACCGCATCAAAGCATTTTACAACGGGGGAAACAAAAATCTATGTTTTCATTGGACTACTTCCAATAGCTGTACCTGCCCCTTTCAGAACGTTTTTCACCTACTGAAAACGACCCAGACACGGACATATTAGTCACTTTCACCCCCAGGATTCAATGTATGGACCAGCCGATTTGGGCCCTTTAACAAACATTACCTAACATCGACATATTAATGACGACGTACTCCTATTCTTCAATACATTTTCCTTAATGCATTTATCTGAAGCTTTACTTTATTTTCCACTTATCTAGGCTCAAGGGAGACTGTAACCCATTGTGTTGACGCGTGTTGTCTCTTCCCTGCAGGTGTTTGTGCTGTCCACCCACCCTTACGGCTGCAGGGTGATCCAGCGGATCCTGGAGCACTGCACCCAGGAGCAAACCCTGCCCATCCTGGAGGAGCTGCACCAGCATTCTGAGCAGCTCGGTCAGGTAAATGCAGCCAGGCAAGCCCTGGTCTCAACTCCTAACTGCACCCCAGTCGCTCACACATGGTCAATGTAATGCTTTGCAGGGTTTAGGTGGTGGGTGTGGCAGTCAGCGCGGCTGGATTTTTAGAGAACCTTTTAGAGGCCCGCATCTTGGCGGTGTAGATGTTTTCATATTTAAGCCAATTTGCTGCAATTCTACCTATTTCTCCATGGAGCTGAGTGAGATTGTTTCAGTTTTAAAGCTAGTTACCTGAAATTCTACACATTTTGTCATGTGGCTGAGAGAGAAAAAATCTGGAGAAATCAGCAGTTGCTACATCCATTTTTGGACGTATAAATTAATTATATGTACCCATTTGATTATTATAAATGCCTCAAGCTTAGTTCAACTGTCGTACCCCATCAGAACCCAAAATATAAGCTTGTTTTACACCAATGTAAGTAAAGATACACAAGTGGAGGCTGCTGAGGGGAAGACGGCTCATAATAATGGCAGGAACGGAGTGAATGGAATGGAATCAAACACATGGAAACCATGCATTTGATACAATTCCACTCCAGCCATTACCACGAGCCCGTCCTCCCCAATTAAGGTGCCTCCAACCTCCTGTGACATACACTATATAACCCCCATACTCGGTCGGACTTCGACCCCTGGTATCATATAAACACATGACATGGAAGAATGCATAGAATTGCAGGAAATTTGCTTTAAAACAGCAACAACAAAAAATCTGCCCCATGTAAAATGTGTAGAATTGTGGGAAATGAGCTTTAAAACTGCAACACTTTCTCTCCGCCAACGAGGGGTGTGAATAGTTTGGGGTTGTGAGATGGGGGTTTGTTACTGCGCCGATTAATTACATTATCCATCCGGACCTTCGCCACCTTGGAAATTTGTGTGACCGGACCTTCCCAAATAGTACTTGAGTACCCCAGCTATATAGCCTCAAAACATTGTTAAAACTAATTGTGATATCCTGGATGGTCAGTCCTTGCATCCATAGTGCGGTCTATGAATTTGAGGTTACATTTCTTCAACCCCATCCCTCAGCTTTTTACCAAAACAGGGGCGGAGAAAATGCTTTGTTTCAACTGCTGATCGCTGCTTTAAAGCACATTTCCTGCAATTCAAAATTTTTGGCCATTGCTTATGCCGTGTTCTCATGCTATCTGAGTGACTCAAACATTATAACAAAATCAGTGGTGGTCCCATGACATTTTAGGAATGTTAGATTCTCGCTGTCTAGTTTTTATTTTGGTGATTGTTAGTTCTCAAAGATATTATAAAAATAAAGAAAATATTATGTGTGTGTATGTATGTATATGTATATATATATATATATATATATATATACACACAATCATTATTTTTTTGGGGGGGTGGGAGTAGCGGCTACGAGTTTAGCAGCGGTGGTCTACCGCTGCTAAATTAATATATGGGAAACACTAGTGTGTGTGTGTGTGCATATTTTGTAGTTCTTGTGATGTTTTCATTGTTAGTGTGGCTGTGTAGCCTGTGTCGTGTTCATTAGGGCCAAAAGGGTGACTGAATGAAAAAAAAAAAAATAGCAGATTCTCATTGGACAAGTCCGGACAGTCCCTTCCTGTTTCAGTCCGTTTTCTTCCCTTTGGTGCCTAACGAACACGACCATGAGCAGTGTACATTTTAATCCACGGTTAATGATAGATAAGGATAAGTGTATTCCTGCTGGCAATGATTTCTACCTCTGACCTATAATATGATGTTAATTTAACCCCCCCCCCGCCCCCCACTTATTCCATCTAGAAATATCAAGGCGTTTCATTGGAGATGACACCCAAAACATATTATACAGTGTCCAGCGATGCACTGTTCAAGGTCAGAGCAATTCGCCTCCCACGCGGACGTCGTCCTCGTGTCGCCTCCCTCACTACTCCTCCATATTTCTCTCTTTCTCAATAACCAGTCTGCTTTAACACCGTAGAGGCCTTTTCCCTTCATCAAACTCTATCCCTTTTTTCAGGCCGCCTCCCTCCTCCTAAACTTAGAGCACGCCTCTTCCTCCTCCCCGCCGACGCCGCCTCCCTCCCTCTCCTCCTTTTTCTCCTTCCTTTGTTTATAAGAAATCTTTCTGTCCTGTCACATAGAGGATTCACAGCACCCTGCTTCTCGGCTCTGTTTGGATAATCCCTCTCTTAAGTCACAGGCGCCTCCTGATTCTGTCTTTTTTTCCTCCTGCCTTCCTTCTCTGATTTTAATTATCAATACTTGGTAGAAAGACTCCCCAAGTCAAGAGCTTTTCTTAGCCACAATTTGGACCCCACCAACATTGACATATTGTCCCGTATGCTTCAAACTTGACCGTGTAATTTGGTTTAAATCAAATGGGTGGGAGGGTGACAGCTGTAATAAAATAAGGCATGCTACTCATTTAAGGTGGTCAAATGTTGGCGAGTCACTATTGATATCTGGTCAGGTGAGTTTTAGTGTTTGTTTTCCTGTACAGCTTTAGGTATATTACGTTATTTTCCCTTAAAACCACACCCTGTCTTATCACCTATCCCTGAAGGGGCAAATATGCTGCTGGTTGCACATCGACCTATATAGGCCCATGTCCCATTCAAACCAGTAGCATCTCTCTTGTCGTTTGACCTGCAGTGGTATTTTAATAATTTTATAAAATGTCTATGGTGCTTTTCATAAGATTCTCAAAGCTTTTCAAAAGCAAAAAAACAAACAAGCAATACATCATTAGTAGCCTAGCTATAGTTGGGTCAACCAATAGAGGCCAAGTCTGAGTGCATTCTCCCAAAGATGGAGAGGGACTGTTCATGGCTCGATAAGAGGAAGATGGTCAGGGAGATGATTGATGAAGAGTCTGGTGACAATCATGTTGAGGTCTACTCAGGGAACCAGCCGGAGTCGTGTAGTTACTGGACTTCTCCTTCACAATATGTAGCACCCACTTGGGTGACGTCTTAGCAGCTCTGGGCCCCAGAAGCTCACCACACACAGTTCAGAGTAGTAGCCAGTCGTTCCCACGATGAGCCCTTTGCCTCAGCACTACATTCCTTTACTGCATCTCCAATTCCTCTCAAGCTTCAGGTGACTCTACAATTTATGTTTTCAAAAGATCAGGAACTAGCAGGCAGGTGAAACAAAAAAGCTGGTACAGTGTCCAGATGCAAAATTCAAACAAAAACAATTAGCTAGGCAAGCCAAAAGGCGTTGACCTGCCAGTCAATCTGCAAATCTGTGGGTCAAAAAACAACCACCAGAAATAGGCAGTGTTATAATAAACAAAACAGCTGATTTTAAAAAGATAAACACCATACAATTTATAAACACTTACGTAATTAAATGCACTACATGACAAAATATATGTGGACATCTGCTTGTCGAACATCCCCCTTTTGCTGCTATAACAGCCTCCACTCTTTTGGGAAGGCTTTCCACTAGATGTTGGAACATTGCTGCTGGGACTTGCTTCCATTCAGCTATGAGCATTTGTGAGTTTGGGCACTAATGTTGGGTGATTAGGCCTGGCTAATAGCTGAATCCACTAATTTGAAGGAGTTTCCTCATACTTTTGTATATAAATTATTCAGACCCCTTGACTTTTTCCACATTTTGTTAGGTTACAGCCTTGTTATAAAATTGATTAAATTGTTGTTTTCCCTCATCAATCTACACACAACACCCCATAATAACAAAAGTGAAACAGGTTTTTAGAAATGTTTGCTAATTTATAAAAAATAAAAATAAACATTACATTTACATAAGTATTCAGACCCTTTACTTAATACTTTGTTGAAGCACCTTTGGCAACGATTACAGCCTCAAGTCTTCTTGAGTATGACACTACAAGCTTAGCAAAACTGTATTTAGGGAGTTTCTCCCATTCTTCTCTGCAGATCCTCTCAAGCTCTGTCAGGTTGGATGGGGAGTGTCGCTGCACAGGTCTCTCCAGAGATGTTAGATCGGGTTCAAGTCCAGGCTCTTGCTGGGCCATTCAAGGACATTCAGATACTTGTCCCGAAGCCACTCCTGCGTTGTCTTGGCTGTGTGCTTAGGGTCGTTGTCCTGTTGGAAGGTGAACCTTCACCCCAGTCTGAGGTCCTGAGTGCTCTGAAGCAGGTTTTCATCAAAGATCTCTCTGTACATTGCTCCGTTCATCTTTCCCTTGATCCTGACTAGTCTCCCAGTCCCTGCCGCTGAAAAACATCCCCACAGCATGATGCTGTCACCATCATGCTTCACCGTAGGGATGGTGCCAGGTTTCCTCCAGACGTGACGCTTGGCATTCAGGCCAAAGAATTCAGTCTTGGTTTCATCAGACCAGAGAATCTTGTTTCTCATGGTCTGAGAGTCTTTAGGTGCCTTTTGGCAATCTCCAAGCGGGCTGTCGTACATCTTTTACCACTCTACCATAAAGGCCTGATTGGTGGCGTGCTGCAGATGTGGTTGTCCTTCTGGAAGGTTCTCCCATCTCCACAGAGGAACTCTGGAGCTTGTCAGAGTGACCATCGGGTTCTTGGTCACCTCACTGACCAAGGCCCTTCTCCCCGGATTTCTCAGTTTGGCTGGGCGGCCAGCTCTAGGAAGAGTCTTGGTGGTTCCAAACTTCTTTCATTTAAGAATGGAGGCCACTGTGTTTTTGGGGACCTTCAATGCTGCAGAAATGTTTTGGTACCCTTCCCATTTTACATTTGCATTTTAGTCATTCAGCAGACGCTCTTATCCTGAGTGCATAAATGTTTTCATACTGGACCCCCGTGGGAATCGAACCCACAACCCTGGCGTTGCAAGCGCCATGCTCTACCAACTGAGATACAAGGGCCCCGAAAACTTAGGACACTAAAGAGGCCTTTCTACTGACTCTGAAAAACACCAAAAGAAAGATGCCCAGGGTTCCTGCTCATCTGCGTGAACGTGCCTTTGGCATGCTGCAAGGAGGCATGAGGACTGCAGATGTGGCCAGGGCAATAAATTGCAATGTCCGTACTGTGAGACGCCTAAGACCACGCTACAGGATGGACAGCTGATCGTCCTCGCAGTGGCAGACCACGTGTAACAACACCTGCACAGGATCGGTACATCCGAACATCACACCTGCGGGACAGGTACAGGATGGCAACAACAACTGCCTGAGTTGCACCAGAAACGCACATGCTGAGAGAGGCTGGACTGAGGGCTTGTAGGCCTGTTGTAATGCAGGTCCTCACCAGACATCACCGGCAACAATGTCGCCTATGGGCACAAACCCACCGTCGCTGAACCAGACAGGACTGGCAAAAAGTGCTCTTCACTGACAAGTCGCTGTTTTGTCTCACCAGGGGTGATGGTCGGATTCACGTTTATCGTCGAAGGAATGAGCGTTACACAGAGGCCTGTACTCTGGAGCGGGATCAATTTGGAGGTGGAGGGTCCGTCATGGTCTGGGGCGGTGTGTCACAGCATCATCGGACTGAGCTTGTTGTCATTGTAGTTAGTCACAACGCTATGCGTTACAGGGAAGACATCCTCCTCCCTCGTGGTACCCTTCCTGCAGGCTCATCCTGACATGACCCTCCAGCATGACAATGCCACCAGCCATACCGCTTGTTCTATGCGTGATTTCCTGGAAGACAAGAATGTCCGTGTTATGACATGGCCAGCGAAGAGCCCGAATCTCAATCCCATTGAGCACGTCTGGGACCTGTTGGATCAGAGGGTGAGGTCTAGAACTCACAGCAAGAACTGGCAAATCTGGTCTGTGTGTGTGTTACATTTACAGTTAAGTCATTTAGCAGACGCTCTTATCCAGAGCGACTTACAATTAGTGAGTGCATACATTTTTCCTACTAGCCCCCCGTGGGAATCGAACCAACAACCCTTGCGTTGCAAGCGCCATGCTCTACCAACTGAGCTACACGGGACTACATGTATGCATGTACAGTGGGGAGAACAAGTATTTGATACACTGCAGATTTTGCAGGTTTTCCTACTTACAAAGCATGTAGAGGTCTGTCATTTTTATCATAGTTACACTTCAACTGTGATAGACGGAATCTAAAACAAAAATCCAGAAAATCACATTGTATGATTTTTAATTAAGTAATTTGCATTTTATTGCATGACATAGGTATTTGATACATCATAAAAGCAGAACTTAATATTTGGTACAGAAAACTTTGTTTGCAATTAGAGATTTCCTGTAGGTCTTGACCAGGTTTGCACACACTGCAGCAGGGATTTTGGCCCACTCCTCCATACAGACCTTCTCCAGATCCTTCAGGTTTTGTGGCTGTCGCTGGACAATACGGACTTTCAACTCCCTCCAAAGATTTTCTATTGGGTTCAGGTCTGGAGAATGGCTAGGCCACTCCAGGACCTTGAGATGCTTCTTACGGAGCCACTCCTTAGTTGCCCTGGCTGTGTGTTTTGGGTCGTTGTCATGCTGGAAGACCCAGCCACAACCCATCTTCAATGCTCTTACTGAGGGAAGGAGGTTGTTGGCCAAGATCTCGCGATACATGGCCCCATCTATCCTCCCCTCAATACAGTGCAGTCATCCTGTCCCCTTTGCAGAAAAGCATCCCATGATGTTTCCACCTCCATGCTTCACGGTTGGGATGGTGTTCTTGGGGTTGTACTCATCCTTCTTCCTCCAAACACGGTGAGTGGAGTTTAGACCAAAAAGCTCTATTTTTATCTCATCAGACCACATTACCTTCTCCCATTCCTCCTCTGGATCATCCAGATGGTCATTGGCAAACTTCAGACGGGCCTGGACATGCGCTGGCTTGAGCAGGGGGATCTTGCGTGCGCTGCAGGATTTTAATCAATGACGGCGTAGTGTGTTACTAATTGTTTTCTTTGAGACTGTGGTCCCAGCTCTCTTCAGGTCATTGACCAGGTCCTGCCGTGTAGTTCTGGGCTGATCCCTCACCTTCCTCATGATCATTGATGCCCCACAA